GGCTGCGGGTTCAGATCCTATATAGGGATGGCCGGTGCGCTCACTGGCTGAGCGTGGTGCAGACAACACCGTGCTGAGGGTTGCGATCCCCTTACCGGTCAGGAAAAAAAAAAATAATAATAATGTCAGTTTGTGAATAATTACAATGTGGAATGAAAATGTATACTGTGGTTCAGAAGCTTGGGCAGCTCTAAGCTTCACACATTACCTACTCTAAGGCAGAATAAAAACATATCTTTAAAAATGGTAACCATATTCCATTCTTTCCTTACTTCATGAATCTTGAGATGTTTGCCCAATGCAGACCGGTTATGCCATAGATGCTCAATAAAGGTGGTAAATGAGTGAGTGAATAAAAGAATCAGAGGAGGTCTGTAGCAGGAGGAAGAAGGAAAGGGTTAGGAACTAAAAAAGAGAAAAGGAAAAAAGTGGAGAAAGACAAGGATGGGTAAAAAAGGGAGCCAGCAGTTACTGATCAGTGGAGAGGACAGTGGAGAGAAGGGAAAGGAGACTGCTGCAGATGATGAAAAACAAACAAAAAAACCCAACAAAACAAAACGGAGTGGCTGAGAAGCTTTGATTTAAAAAAGTGAAGGTGACTCATGAGGCTAATTCAGATGCTGGCCATGCCAGGAGGCACCTGCCCAGGAGATGGGGGTGAGTACCAACTGCTGAGAACCTTTGTGAACTCATATCAAGGTATATACAAGGCATCTTCTTAAGCACTACAACAGTAAAAGATGAGTAGGGCAACAGGTCTTGCCCTCAACAAGGTCACAGTCAAATGGGGAGAAGAGCCAGATAAAATAATGCCAGGTAGAATGTGATCAGAGCCTCCAGAGGTACAAGCTAATACTGTGAGAAATCAGGGGACAGGAAGATCATACCAAGTCATGAGGTTCAAGAAAGACTGTGAGGAAGGGCCAGGAAGCATGGATAGGATTGCACCAGGCAGAGATGGGAGGTAAGAGAGAGGCATTTCAAGGCGATGTGATAAAGAACTGCCAGGAGGGGGGAAGCATATAGAACAGTGAGTGGTCCAAGTGGGCTCCAACAAAGCGGGTATATAGACCATGAGTGGTGTGAAGGGACATGGGCAGAAAATCTAGAAACCCCACTGTGGGTCCTTGAATGCCTGGCTGAGGTGCTGACACTCCAGAGAGGCAATGGGAAACTAGTGAAGGATTTTTTTGTGCAGAGAAATAATAGCATTAGAGATGATTCCCAGGCAGAACGGGTGAATCAGGGTAAGGAGCTCGCTTTTAGAGGAGGAGGTAGTTCGGTTCTGGAGAGACCAAGTGACCATTTAGACATTACCCATCAGGCAACAGGAAAATCCTGCCAGAGACAGTGGCTGAGTCCTCTCCTGAGAGCACAGAGCCAGCACAAGGTTCTGGTCATGACTTCAGGGGACAGCGACCTAGAAAGAACGAGAGGAACAGAAAAGCCAGAGAATGCAGCTAAGAGGAAATCACAGAGAACAGCCACGGGAGGCAGAAGTTTCCATACGGAAATTATAGCCACGGTTGAGAACCCCAGCCTTGGAATCCGCGTGCGTTTGAATTGCAGTGGCCTGGCCAGTGAGGATTAGCAAAGGCACTTCAAAGAGCTTTTGTCTTTGTTTCCCTATCTGTGAAATGGGAGTGATTTCTATTTCAAAGGACTGAGCGCATTCGCTGAGAGAAGCTTCTCAGTACGGGGTCTCTACACAGTAGGAGCCACGGAGTGAGCAGGGGCCGGCGGGAGAAGGAACTGGACAAGTTGGGGGTATTCCCCTGAGGAATGTCCGTAAATAAAGGCAGGAACCCTCAGGAAGCCCAAAGCCTTTGCTTTAACCTAATCTGCCGAACGCCCTGTGAGAGGAACGGGTGAGCCGGGTCAAGGCAGCCTCGTGCTAGTCCCCACCCCCCATCCTGCCCTGTCGCCCAAGATTCCATCCCGCCGCGCCTCCCAACACCCCGCCCCGCACCTCCCACTCGGTTCCCACTTCAGCCAGTCCCGGGAACCACACGCGCATGCGCCCTCCCGCGCCCCTCCCCAACTTTCCACGTCTCACTTTCCTCTCTTTTCCTGCTCAGCTTCAGCTCCAACGCCACCATTGGTCAGCCGACCTCCTGGTTTCGGCCAATAGACGCTGCCGTCTCGCCCCCGTGTTACTGGGTAGAAGAAAACAAAAACAAACAGAGCGAGAGGGGCCAGAGACGCTCCGAGACGGCGGGAGAGGCTGAGGAGTGGGGTCGAGGCCGGCGGATCAGCGGCCTGGGCGAGCAGCGGCGGTGGCCCGGGGGGTCGGTATCGGTGGGCGCGGCTCGCACGCTCGGGAAGACAGAGCCCTCTCCCTCGGGCCCGGTGTCTCCTCGGAGGCAGCCGCACGTTGGGAGGGGGAGGGGGCGT